CCTGCTTTGAGCAGGGGGTTGGACTAGATGGCCTCCCGAGGTCTCTTCCAACCCTGTGATTCTATGATCCTATATCAAGCACAGAGGGAAACTGAGGTATGTACTGGAATCACAGAAATATTACCAAAATTCCCACATCCAATGGTCATAGGCCTCGGAGAGAAAGCAAATGGTAGGGGCTGGACTTTAATGCATCCAATAAGGATAAATGAAATATATTGTTTTAATTTGTTATGCCACTGGTCATTTAAAATTTGTGTACGTCTAAAAATGATACTGGGATGGGACATAAGTCAAAGGGGGAGGGGAACAGGACACAGAAACCAATCTACACATGTATGAGTAGTAAAGGTATAGAGCAGGTGTAGGCAACCTATGGCACACATGCCAAAGGCAGCACACGAACTGATTTTCAGTGGCACTCACACTGCCCTGGCTGCTGGCCTGGGGTTCCGGCCACCGGCCCCTCTCAGCCTGCTGCTGGCCCCAAGTCCCGGCCACTGGTCCGGGGGGCTTTGCTGCCCGTCTGGGGTCCCGGCTGCCAGCCTGGGGCTCTGCAGCTGCCCCCAGCTGTGGCCCACTGGCCCCAGCCTGGGGCAGTGAGGGGTGCAGACAGGGGCTAGAGGGGGCGCAGCAGCACCCCCACCTTAAAAATTGTTCCAGCGCCACTGTACAATATTTGTAAGTTCTGATTTGCTGCTTATATCACTATCACGCCACGTGGAACAGCGCACTGGTTTGATGTTGAGATTAGAATATACCTGCAAGAACTGGAATCAGAATTTTCTGACAGATTTCAAGATTTCCAGCAATTTGGCCCAATGCTTTCTTTTCTAATGAAACCTGAAAAGTTCAACGAAAGAACCTTGGATTTGTCTGTATTTCAGTGGATGGGTGTTGAAGATTTCGAAATGCAACTCATTCAGTTAAAAAGCTCAGAATTGTGGGCATCAAAGTTTGGAGATCTGTGGAGTGCACTTGAAGCTACCGAGAGAGTTCCTGGGGCCTCTACTCTGACCTGCTGGACGTCCCTGCCAGGGAAATGTAACTGTTTGAAAAAAATTGTGTTTGCAATGCTTTCAGCATTTGGATCCACATACCTGTGTGAACAGGTATTTTCACACATGACATCTGCCCTCTGTCCCAATCGAAGCCGGTTAACAACTGATCACTCAGAAGCCCGTGTGCAGCTTAAAGTATCCAAATCCGTGCCATTGGAAAACTCAGCAAGGAAAAGCAAGGGCAAGATCACACTAAACTAATAAGATCTGCATTTTAATTTAATTTTAAATGAAGCTTCTTAAACCTTTTTAAAACCTTGTTTACTTTACATACAACAATAGTTCAGTTCTATATTACAGACTTATAGAAAGAGACCTTCTAAAAACGTTAATGTATGACTGGCATGTGAAACCTTAAATTAGAGCGAATAAATGAAGACTCGGCACACCACTTCTGAAAGGTTGCCGACCCCTGGTATAGAGTTATTATTACAGAGGTTCTTTAGAGAACCCACAGCTTCCAATAACCAAGGGGACAGGAATCCTTACCTAGCAAGGTCAGATTCTCATAGTTCTCCTGCATGACATCTCTGTAGAGGGCTCTCTGAGCAGGGTCCAGCAGAGCCCACTCTGACTCGGTGAAATACACAGCCACCTCCTCGAAGGTCACCGGCCCCTGAAAGAGCAAGAGCCCCTCACTTAGTAATTTAGTACAACCCCAGGATTCCTGGGAGAGCAGGAACAGGAAAATGGAAGCTTGGGAGCAACAGGGTAGCACAGTCCCACTCCCACCCTGAGGAGCCAGGAGGCACCAGGTTGAGGGGAGAAAAAGAGAGCCCCTCACGCTGCCCAGTGGGGACAGGGGTCTTCATATTGATCACACACCTACTAACCAGAGGCTGATACAGGAAATGGAGTCCCCGGCAGGGTCAGGGACAGCCTCCTGGCGGCAATCCCAATATCTCCCACCCATAAAATTATATATAAACAAACACCTGGAAGAAAGAGGAAATTGACAGGAAATAATGTCAGAAGCTTGGAATTGTGGAACATTAATAAGGCAAAGCAAAGAAACAAATGGAGAACTCTCTGGCCAGCAGAATTAAGGAAATATGAAGGAGGGTTCTTGTTTTTTAGTATATCAATAACAAAAAAAAAATCCTAACAATGTTATTGGTCCATTACTAGACAGAAAGGGCAGAATTATCAATAATAATACAGAAGAAGTAAAAATGTTCAGTGAGTATTTCACTCCTGGATTTGGGGAAAACAAGCAAATGATGTCGTGATATGTTTATGATGACAACACCACTCTTTTCATTAAAATAATAAGTCATGAGGATGTTAAACAGAAGCTACGAACGTCAGACATTTTTAAAATCAGCAGTTCCAGATATCTTCCATTCAAGAGTTTTAAAAAAGCAGGCTGAGGAGCTCTCTGGACCATTAATGCTGCTTTTCAATAGCTCTTGCAACACTGCAGAAACTCCAGAAGACTGGAAGTCAACAATAAAGTTGCCCCTATATTTAAAAAAAATTGTAAAAGGGATGACCAAGATAACAGGCCTGAAATCGAACATGGGCAAGATAATGCGGGGACAGAGGGGGAATATTAATAAAGAATTAAAAGAGGGTAATATAATTCATTCCAATCAACAACAATTTAGGGAAAACAGATCCTCACAAACTAATTGGATTTTTTTTTTTGAAGGTGATCAGAAGTTCGGTCGATAAAGGAATAGTGTTAATGTAATATACTTTGATTTCTCTAAGGTATTTGACCTGGTACAGCATGATACTTAAACAACTACATCAACACAAAATTAACATGACATACATGAACTACATTCAAAACCAGCTGATACATTTCAAAGTGTAACTCTAAATGGTCACGTGGGTGGGTTTCTATTGGGGTCCCACAGGGATCGGTTATTGGCCCTCTGCTATTTAACTTGCTTATCAATGACTTGGAAGAGAACATATCATCACTGATGAAGTTTGCAGATGAGACAGAGTTTGGGAGAGTGGTAAATAAAAAACAAAATATATGGAGATATACCTGTCTCATAGAACTGGAAGGGACCTTGAAACATCATCAAGTCCAGTCCCCTGCCTTCACTAGCAAGACCAATTTTTTTTGCCCCAGATCCCTAAATGGCCCCCTCAAGAATTGAACTCACAACCCTGGGTTAGCGGGCCAATGCTCAAACCACTGAGCTATCCCTTCCCCCAAAGTGTATGAAGTGTGTCTGTTGGTTCGGGCTGCAGCACTAGGAGTCTGGGAAGTTTTTGCAGCCCTGGCCAGGGGGTTATTTCCTGTTCCACAAACGGGAAAGTTCCACACCCAAACCCCAGGAGTCTGCTCCTTCAATGTGGGGCCTAATCCGAATTCATTCTGGCAAGTTTGTCCCCTCCTCTTCCCCACCCTGGGTATTTCCTGCCCAATTCCACCTCCAGGAGCTCCCACCCTCCTGTACATTTACTGCCCATCTCCCTCCAGCCAGAACCCACCACCAGCTCCGTGATAATCCCATACCTCAGCTAACTCCGCTGCAGCCATTGCCTTTCCTCTGGAAGGGTGGGACGATCCAGAGCAAAACATGGACGTTTTTCTGTAGCCTGTCGGGGCGAAAAGAACAATTGCAGAGATTTCAGAAGAGGCTTTTGTCCACTTCACACAGAGGCCCCACCAGACTTTTTTCTGTGGCAAGTGACTATCTAGGCTCTCCCACAGTGATTTTATTAGCGATAGGTCTTCCCACCAGGATTAAAGCCTCCCAGGCCTACTCTACATTATAAAGACCTCATCTACATTAGATCAACGTAAGCTGCATGGCATTGACTTAGTTGCGCGTGTCTCTGCACTTAAATTTCTCTCCCACCAATGTAAACTGTCCATTATGCCAACACGGTAACACCCCTTCCCCAAGCAACGCTGAGCCATGGTCGATGTACTGAGGTCAACACAGTGCAAGTCTTCCCCCCTTTCCCTTCCTGACACCTCCACCCTCCAGACACACAAAGGGCAAACCCCACTGAGGCCCAGTCTCTTCCCCTCCTGAATCCCCCAGTTTGCTCCCTGGGCAGATCCTGGCAGGAGCTGAGGGCAGCCGCTTCACTGCTGTACAGGCAGCTCCCAGCCCTCCTTCAGGGACATTCACAACCAGGGAGCACATTCCCAGGGGCTGTGAAATCCGAGGCTCCCGGGACATTTGTGCAGAGTCACTTCCCTGCCCAACCCCAGCACTTTCCCTGAGGTCTCTGGCTCAGCGGTTGGTGTTGGCAGAGACCGGGGCGACTGTGGGGGGCTAGTTCCAGCCACTGGAGAAAGTCTCTCCCCTTGGCTGGGCACAGAAGGAGCTTTAACGAAGGTCTCTCCCTGGCACAGACCCTGCTGGGACAGAGGAGCTGCTCGGCCCAGCATTCCCAGATCACACTGGAGGCAGCAGCGTGTGACGCAAGAAACTCAAACCCGACACCTTGAGTGGAAAGTAAGAGAGAGCAGCCGCCCCTCCGTCAGCAACAGCCAGCGCCCCCGGTGACAGTAACTAATGACACCACCTCCCTCATGTTAATACAGAGTCACGCAGTGTCTTTATTGCAATGTCAATCCAGACACTGGAGTCAATGAGACCGGAAATGTGGTATAGGAGGAAGGAGCCAAAATCCTTTAAAACATATAATGGGGGATCCACCCTTTCCCACCACCGCTGCTCCCCACATCTGGGGCAAGGACTCAGGACGATTTGCCAACCACCGTTTGGGCAGGGATGGGGGTTTGGATGTTGCCACACATATTTTATCAGAATAATAATGACCAGCAAATTATGAGTTTTCCAATGGTCCCTCACAAGGCATAATTTGTACAATGATTATTGTAATCAGGTGTAGGGTGTGGACATAGGGCTACATTCTGTCATCTCCCCCCCCCCCACCCCCGTGCCATCCATTCACACAGGCCCAGGCCAACGCTGCTTTAACAGGAGAGGGGAGGGGATGGAGGAGCCAAAAGAGTCAACAAATTCCCATGTCCTGTCCCTGGCAAATAACGATCCCAGGGACCCAGCTCAGCGCCGGGGGAAAGACCCCTCATGGGGACGGTCTGTGCTGGGTTCTGGGCACTTGTCTGGCACAG